ATTCTTTTCGGCTGCACATGGATCATTCTCCAAAATAGACCACATACTGGCTCACAAAACAGGTCTAAATAAATGCAAAAAAATTGAAGTCATCCCCTGTTTATTATCAGATCATAGTGCAATCAAACTAGACATCAATAGCACAAGAAACTATAGAAACTTCACAAGCACATGGAAACTGAACAACACTCTCCTAAACAATCAATGGATTACAGAGGAAATTAAAGAAGAAATTAGACAGTTTTTACAAATAAATGAGAATGCCAATACAACATACAGGAATCTTTGGGACACAATGAAAGCAGTTCTACGTGGAAAATTCATAACATTGAATGCCCACACTAGGAAAACAGAGCGGGCTCAAATAAACAACTTAACGATGAAACTTAGACTCCTAGAAAAACAAGAGCAAGAAAAACCCAAAGCTCGAACAAGAGAGGAAATTATAAAGATCCGAGCAGAAATCAATGCAATTGAAATTAAGAAAACGATACAAAAAATAAATGAAACAAAGAGCTGGTTTTTTGAAAGAATAAATAAAATTGACAAACCCTTAGCTAATCTTATCAAAAAAAGGAAAGAAAAGGCTCAGATCCATGCAATTAGGAATGAAAAAGGCGAAGTCACAACAGATCCGAAAGAAATCCAGAGGATCATGAACACCTACTTTGAGAACCTGTACTCTAATAAAATGGAAAACACAGAAGAAATGGACAGATTTCTAGATACTTATGAATTACCAAAGTTGAACGAAGAAGATAAAAACATTTTAAACACCCCAATCACAATCAGTGAAATTGAAAATGTAATTAAAAACTTACCAACAAAGAAAAGCCCAGGCCCTGATGGATTCACTGCTGAATTTTACAAGACATTTAGAGAAGAACTACTACCATTACTCTTCAAACTTTTCAATGAAATTGAAAGAGAAGCTATACTTCCAAATTCATTCCTGGAAGCAAGTATCACTCTGATTCCCAAACCAGAGAAAGATACAACCAAAAAGGAGAACTACAGACCAATCTCCTTAATGAATATAGATGCAAAAATCCTTAATAAGATACTAGCAAACAGAATACAGAGGATTATTAAGAAGATCATCCATCATGACCAAGTCGGATTTATTCCAGAGATGCAAGGGTGGTTCAACATACGAAAGTCAGTGAATGTAATACATTATATTAACAAAGTCAAGGACAAAAACCATATGATCCTCTCAATAGATGCAGAAAAAGCATTTGATAAAATTCAACACCCATTCATGATAAAAACCCTGCAAAAAATTGGAATAGATGGTCTATACCTCAATTTAATAAAGGCTATTTATGAAAAACCATCAGCCAACATCATATTGAATGGCCAAAAACTGAAAACCTTCATGTTAAAATCAGGAACAAGACAAGGATGCCCACTATCGCCACTTCTCTTCAATATAGTTCTGGAAACATTAGCCACAGCAATTAGACAAGAGAAAGAAATTAAAGCAATAAAGATAGGAAAGGAAGAAGTTAAACTATCATTATTTGCTGATGATATGATACTCTACATTGAAGATCCAAAAAACTCCACCAAAAAACTTCTAGACTTAATTGACAGATTCAGTAAAGTATCTGGATACAAGGTGAATACCCAAAAATCAATAGCCTTTCTATACACAAATAACAGACAGACAGAAAGAGAAATAAGGGAAAAAATTCCTTTTACAATAGCATCCAAAAAAATGAAGTATCTAGGAATCAATCTAACAAAAGAAACAAAAGATCTCTACACTGAAAACTACAGCACTCTGAAAAAAGAAATCGAAGAGGATATAAAAAAATGGAAAGATATCCCCTGCTCCTGGGTAGGAAGAATCAACATAGTGAAAATGGCCATACTACCGAAACTGCTATATACATTCAATGCAATGCCAATTGAAATTCCAACACTATATTTCACAGAACTAGAAAAAAGAATCCAAAAATTCATTTGGAACCACAAGAGACCTAGAATAGCAAAAGCCATTATAGGCAACAGTCACATGGCACCAGGTGTAACAATTCCCAATTTGAAACTATACTACAAAGCCACTGTGATAAAATCAGCATGGTACTGGCAAAGAAATAGGCCTGAGGATCAATGGAACAGACTGGAAGACACAAAAACAAATGCAGATGTACTCAGCTACCTCATCTTCGACAAAGGAGCTCACCATCCTCAGTGGAGGAAAGATAGCCTCTTTAATAAATGGTGTTGGAAAAACTGGATATCAACCTGTCACAGATTAAAATTAGACCCTTATCTTTCGCCATGCACTAAATTAAAATCCAAATGGATTAAAGATCTAAATATTAAAACAGAAACATTAAACTTGCTGGAAAGTAAGTTAGGCAGAACTCTGGAAGACATTGGTATAGGAAAAGACTTTATGAACAAATCCTCAGTAGCACGGGAACTAGCAGAAAGAATCAACAACTGGGATCTCATCTTACTAAAAAGCTTCTGTACTTCAAAAGAAACCATTAGCAGAACTAAGAGACAATCTACAATGTGGGAAAAAATTTTTACCAGCTGTACCTCAGACAAAGGACTATTATCAAGGATATATAAAGAACTCAAAACAATCAGTCCCCCCAAATATAAAGACCCGATCCAAAAATGGGCATCCGAAATGAACAGACATTTCTCATACAAAGAAGTGAAAGCAGCAAGAAAATATATGAAAAAATGTTCCACATCACTGGTCATTCGAGAGATGCAGATGAAAACAACACTGAGATTCCACCTCACCCCACAAAGAATGGCTGCTATCAAGAAATCACACAATAACAAATGTTGGCGGGGTTGTGGGGAGAAAGGAACCCTCCTCCATTGTTGGTGGGAGTGCAGACTAGTGCAACCACTATGGAAATCAATATGGAGATACCTCAAAGAGCTTGGACTGGAGGTTCCATTTGACCCAGCCATCCCTCTGTTGGGTATCTTTCCAAGAGAACTAAAAGAATCATATCACAGAGAAGTATGTGCACCCATGTTTATAGCGGCACAGTTTGTAATAGCTAAATCTTGGAAACAACCTATTTGCCCATCCGTTGGAAACTGGATAAAGAAGATGTGGTTTTTCTATAAAATGGAATATTACTCAGCCATAAAGAGCGAGAGAATAGATTCATTCATAGGAAAATGGATACATATTGAAGATATACTCCTAAGTGAAATAAATAAGTCCCACATGTGTAAATACCAAATAGTTTCCCTGGTGTGAATATTCTGCAACAATGCATAAGATTCTAATAAGATTACTGACATTTAGAAATGGGAGGAAAGGAGCTAAAGGTGTAGGGAAGGTGTGATACGTAGGGGAAGAACAAAAAGGGAAAAGAAAAAAATGTGAGAGAATGAAAAGATGAAAATAAAGTGTTTGTAGATGGGGAGGGGAGGAGGGGGTGAAGGGAGGGCAGAGGTAAGGGGAAAAAATGAGAATCAAGACTTGCCATGTAAAGGTACATGATCCCAACAATGAATGTAACTGTACTGTATCCCTAAATGTACCAATAAACTCAATTAAAAAAAAAAAGAAATACCTAGTTGGATGTGGTGGTGCATGCCTATAATCCCAGTGCTCTGGGAGACTGAAGCATGATGATCATAAATTCAGCACAGCCTAGACAACTTAGTGATCTAAAGAGACCCTGTCTCAAAATGGGAAAGGGCTTGGGACCTGGGTATGTAAATCAGGGCCAAGGCTTTGGATTAAATACCCAGTTCAGAAGGCAAGAAGAAGAAAGGAAGGATGGAAGGGATGGAGGGAAGGAGGAAAAGAGGGGAGGGAAGGGAGAGGAGGGGAAAGAAAAGGAGGGAGGGAAGAAGAAAGGAGGGGGTAAGGTTTACGAAAGCATATTTACAGGCTGGGGATTTAGCTCAGTGGTTCTGCCGCCTGCCTCACAAGCCCAAGGACCTGAGTTTGATCCCTGGTACCAAAATAAAAAGCATATTTAATTATTTTTCCTTATTGAAGTAAAAACAAAGATTGTTCACTGATTGATTTTTTTAAATTGATCCTTCTACCTATATAGCATTTGGATTTTCAGAAAAAAATATATATTCCTTCTAGATCACTGAAAACTACTGAATAAAAATGTTGATACACTAATTTGTATAGCTGGTCTTTAAAATTCATTGGAAATAAATTCTTTTTCAGTAATGAACTACTAGTGCTGCTTTAATATTTAACTAGGTCCTCAAAATTATTTACTGCCTCATCAGATGTTCAGATGTTTTTGTGATATCCTAAGCTGCAAATCCTGTCATGGCTCAAAGGCATAATTTAACTCTTGAAAAATCTCTAAATTGTGACTCTCTTAATCATGAAATAATGTATGAGCTTCCACTCAGCATCATGTAACCTATCAACCTATACAAGACCTAACTAAATACACTGAGATTAAAGGCTCTCACACAAGATCTCAATCTTAATGACACACAAACGTCATCTTAATGTACTTTTCTGTCATTTGCCAAGATCATCTTAATAAGTAGAAATGTTCTCTCCTACACTGTTAAAAAAGCATTATTTAATAAGAGGATACATCACAGTAAGTACAATCAAACGTCAATGTGTCATCACATTTTTAAACGAAATCTACAAGTGCAGCAGTATAATGGGAAAACATGGCTTTATTTTTTAAAACAGCAAACCAGAATTGAGATGTGTTCCCAAATGGAACATATGTATTTCTGCTTCTCCAATATCTGTACAATGAGAAAGCTAGATTAAATGATTAATAAAAACACGGTCACATTAAATTATAATCGTTTTGCACAAATCTTGGAATAGTTGAGATGAGATGGAAAATGGGTCAGGAAAAAGATATCTGCACAAAACATTCACCCAAATAGAAAGACTTACAATTCACTTTCTTATAAGACAGAAAATAACCTAGAATTTGGCTCCCTGGTTAAAGATATAGACACAAATAAGCAAAAAATTTGTATCTTCTTTTTCAAATGCTGTTCTTCTCTTAGGAAAATATTTTTCTGTTAAAAGTTTTCTTCAAGGCAATTTTGACATCCTTATTCCTCAAGCTATAGATTAATGGATTTAACATAGGTACCACAATAGTATAAAATAGAGAAGACACTTTCCCTTGGCCAAGGGGCAAAAGAGATGGTGGTGTGAGATACACAAAAGCCCCAGAACCAAAGAAAAGAAAAATTACGATCATGTGGGAGCTGCAGGTGCTGAAGGCTTTGGATCTACCCTCAGTGGAACTAATGCGAAGGATGCTACACAGGATGAGGACATAAGAAATGAAGATGGTGACAATGGGTATTCCAATGACAATGGCCACAACAATAAAGACCACCAACTCATTTGCACTAGTGCTGTTGCAGGACAGCTCAAGGAGGGGAAAGATGTCACACATGAAATGATTGATGAGGTTGTCAGAGCAGAAGGTCAGACTCATTATGCTTCCTATATGGACGATAGCCCCAGCAAAGCCCATACCATAAGCACCTAACAAGAGGAGTAAACACACATGGGGAGACATGGTGACCGTGTACACCAATGGGTTACAGATGGCAACATAACGGTCATACGCCATTGCTGAAAGGACAAAAGACTCAGAAATGACAAAGAAGCAAAAGAAAAAGAGCTGAGTCATGCACCCAGCATGCATGATCATGTTCTTCTTGGTGATAAAACTCATCAGCATTTTGGGGGTGATGGTAGTGGAGTAAGATAAATCTACTATGGAGAGGTTGAAGAGGAAGAAGTACATGGGGGTGTGCAGGTGAGGGTTCAAGCCTATCAGGAAGATCAAGCCCAGATTCCCAAGTACTGTGACCACGTAGAAACCTAGAAACAGGAAGAAGAGGGGGATCCGAAGTTCTGGCTTGTCTGTTAAACCTGCAAGGATAAACTCTGTCACGGAAGAGTTCTTGGCTGCCATTCTCTCTTGAGTGTGATCTATGGGGTCAAAAAAAGAGGATCACTTGGAAACAAAGAAACATCACAATGACACTTCAGTATCTCTCCCCATTCTTGAAAAAGGAAACCATCAAGAAATATTTAAACTTTGGTTATATAATGTTTCCCATTTGCTATGGGTAGCAAACTACCAGGTGACTTTACCTTCCAGAGTTCCATGTGAGGATAAACTCTGCCTCCAGAAGAAGAGCTAGTGATGCTCAAGAAAGGAATACAGTATACAAACATACTACCTTTTTTATAATTTTTAGTAAACTCTTTTCCTTCTTCTCTGACTTCTGTTTCTGCTGATGCTCCTGAGCCTCTTCCTTGTCTTAACAGAGCAAAATCTACCATGTCTCTGGATCCGTGTCATAACATCCAAAAAGTGAGGTTGTTTTTTTGTACATAATTTTCCATTTTTATTTTATGTTTCAGCTAAAGTTATTTTTAACTGATACAGAGGTTATGTTTTTCCTAGCTCAAGTAGCTAAAGATTTAATCCTTTTTTTTTTTTTTTTTTTTTTTTTTTTTGGTACTGGGGATTGAACTCGGGTCCTTGCACTTGCAAGGCAGGCCACCAAACTGCTGAGCTAAATTCCCGGCCCCAGATTTAATACTTTTAAACATTTATTTTAAGAGTTCTGTAACTGGTTCTGTTCTATAAGAGGCTCTGCTCTAAGAGCTGTGGGACAATGCTATTATTCTTATTTCACAGATGAGACAACAGAGATTAAGAATCTAGCCCAAAGTCACAAAAGAATGAAATTTCATTCCAATGAGTGTTGGCAGTCTGACTCTTAGAGTTAGCACTTATAACCATCAGATTACATCACAGGCCATGGTCAGGAAGACACTCACATTTCTCATTTAGAGCTATCGTGATATTCTCTACTGTCTCCTGTCCAATTTCCTGAGAAAAGCCAATATCTTGTGAATATGGTGAATAGGAGACAACAGACTTGATCTCAGAGCCCTCTCCTCCCAGCCTAGACAAAAGGATCAGAATCTCTAATTTATCTGGAAACATTTTCCCACACTGAAGAACATGATTGACGTTTGTTAATTTAGCCAAGGGTACCTGAACTTCTAGAAAGAAGACTGCTCTTGTTCCTTATCTGTAGATAACAGGAGAATTAGCAATGTGATTCCCAATTATGGGTCTCAGTTACCTAATTGTTAAGGCAGAGATTCCCTCATGACTATTTCCTTGGGGACTTCCCTCCCTAAGAAAGAAAAATTGTTTGATTATCTCTTGGCATTACTTGAAATTATTTTAGAGACAATTATTTCAAATAACATTTACCCAGTACTATTAAAAGAACTGTTATTACAAAAAATAATTTTCATTACAATTTCTTGAATACCCAATAATGTACTTATAATGGTTAACCATGTCAATTTGATTGATTTTAGATATACCTAGGGCATTAGTGAAGCACACTTTTTAATGTGCGTGGGTGAGTCAAGGAGGTGGCATTTTGAATACTGTATCTGTTCCCTGGCTCCTTTGTACAGACACTGTTTCCCCACTCTGCTTTTTGGCCCCTCTGAGCTGTGCAGCTTTGCACTTTCCATGCCCTTCCACCATGATGCTTATGCCTGACAGCCAGATAGCCATGGACTGAGTCTCCTGAAACCATGAGCCAAATTAGCTTCTCTTCCTTTATGTTGCAGATGTTATTGTTCTATCTCAGGGAAGGGAAAGCTCACTAATACAATACCTAGCTTAGATTCCTTATGGTGACACCTGACTGGCACAATCCAAAGCACTATACAAATATAACCTATTTATTCTTCAGGACAATGGTACCCATTTCCTAGGTGAATTGTTTATAGAGACGATATGTTTCAGATTCCAGAGCTCTGACTAGTTCTGTATATTTCTAAGCCCCTTATCTCAACCACTAGACTGAACTACCTCTGAAATCTCCAGACTCACTAAAATCCATAAAGCAAGGTCTTTGTCTTCTCAGAATTGACAGTCTCTTGGACAATGACAAAAAAATCCAATAAATTTAGTTTTTAAAAAAGTGATAAAAGCCAGGAAATGTTAACGAGATGAGATAATGTGATTTAGAATCGAATATCAGTAATTTCTTCATATTTGAATTCACTGCAGAAATTAATTGCACTACTTTCACTTCAAAAACAAAAGGAAACTTTGTAGATTCCCTTCCCTGTCTTCTAATTAGGGATAAGCTTACTCATACAAAAGAATCCTTCCTAATAGGTAACTGCTCTCTACTTCTGCCAAGACTGACTTCTCTAACCTGCTCATCAAAATTCCCTTTGATTCTCCTTGCCTTCCACCCACCTTCTCTGAACCCTCCTTCCAAGCCTCTTCATTTTTCTTTTATCTTTTTCTGTCTTCTACACCCCACTTCCAACACTTGCTTTGACAAAAATTGCCTATATAAATCTCTCAGCTCTTTACTTTTATTTGGGGGTGGCTGGTTTTTTTGAGACAGGATCTCACTATGTAGTTGAGATTGACCTGGAACTCACTATGTATCCCAGGCTGGTCTCAAACTCACAGTGATCCTCTTGCCTCAGCCTCCCGAGTGCTGGGATTACAGGCATGTGCCACCATGCTCGATTTTACTTATTCTTTCTACTAGTGGAATAAAGAGGATCAAAGCTCAAAGATGCCAAGACAGCTGAAATGTGTACAGAAAGAGACAGAAAGTAAGAAGCCAAAAAAAAGGACTGGCATCTAACCTCCATTAATGTATATAATTGTTATTATACTGGTTGAAATTGTCACAGGAGAAATGACTTGTCTTTGTTTAAGAGCCCTGCTTCCAGTTCAAAATTTTAATTGATTTCTGAGATCATTTTAATCTTACTTTCCACCATATTTCCTCTTCTGTGATAGTTTTACTCAACATAAAGAAATAGCCTGAGAAAACATTTTAAAAAGACATTTTTTTATTAAAGAAAAAACAAAAATTTATTCTTTCATTGATTTTTTTTTTCATATTGCTGTTTCTAATCATTTAGATATTTGAATGTTTAGGAGGAAAAAAATGTCCTAATAGAGCACTGAAAATGAAGAATAAAATACTAAAAGTAAAACTACTAAGCTGGTACTTAAAATTCAACCAAAATAAACTGTATTTTCTAATAAACAGCTGCTGGATTCTGACTCAGTAACTAACTAAGTCCCCAAAATTATTTCCTGTTTTGAAATTTCCATACCCTATGTGATTATCCTGATCCACAGATTTCTCCATTTTGACTGAAACACATGTTAGCTTTTCAAAATCTGTAAATTTTGACTTTCTTAGTCATGAGGTAATGCCTGACTTTCCACATAGCATCTTTACAACCCTGCTTATGGAAGACAAACTTCACCAGACTGAGGTTAGTGGGTTCCACATGACCTCAATCTCATTGCCCCTGTTTCACATTATCATCTTAATGCACTTCTTTTTTCACTTGATCAAGACCAAGTTAAGACAAATTTTCATCTCCTACCCTCCTAAACAAATGTTCTATTTAAAAATTACTTATTGAGGGCCAGGGATTTAGCTCAGTGGTTCTGCAGCCTGCCTTGCAAGTGCAAGGACCAGAGTTCGATCCCCGGTACAAAAAAAAAATAGCATTTAAAAATTACTTATTGAGAATTTACGTTAAGTTACTACAAATAAAATCAGATTTTACTATCTTATCATACTCTTGAAAGAAAACCTATAACAGGCAACAATAAAAGAAGGAAAACAAAGTAGACTGGACACTGTGGCTTGGATTAGAGCTCTGGTCATGGCACCAGAAAACTGTGTGCCCATAAGTGACATATATATATAATATTTCAGTCAAGCATCTGTCCAATGAGGAGGCTAGATTAAATGGCTAATGAGGCCCAGTCAAGACTACATGTTCTACTTGTAGAACATTTTCATAAAATAAATAAATGTTTCAGGTATAACAAAAGGGAGGGAAAATAGACCTGCACTAAATATTAATCCAAATATAAAGATTTAAGGTTTTCTTTCTCTACAAATGGGGAAAAGAAAACACGGAACTTGGCTCATTAAAAATATATCAGGTATAAAGTGTTTGTAAATGGGGAGGGGAGGAGGGGGTGAAGGGAGGGCAGGGACAAAGGGAAAAAATGAGAACCAAGACCTGTCATGTAAAGGTACGAGATCCCAATAATGACTGTAACTGTACTGTATACCTAAAATGTACCAATAAACTCAATAAAAGAAAAAAATATATACCAGGTGGAAGAAGCCAATATATACCAGAGTGGTACAGTGGCAGGAAGGCCCAGCCAAGGCCCTGTCCTGATTCCAGCTGCTTGGGCCTACATGCCCCAACCAAAAACCCACCTGGAAAAGAGCTGCATAGACACACAAGCAAACAGCCCAAAGCCCACCCTGATACCATCAGTAAGTGGGAGCAGATTCCAAAGAGAAGCCCATGGGGACAAGAGTAGCACCGTTGTGGACAGGTTCTAGCCAGGGCCCCACCCTGACTCCAACAGCTCAGAACTACAGGCCCAGCCAAAGGCTTACCTAGAAAAGAGGTGCACAGGCACACAAGCAACAGTCAGAAGCCCACCCGGATACTATTGATAAGTATGTACAGACCCCAGCCAGAAATGTGCTCAGACACCAGTGACTGGGGTGTACATCCCCCAGCCAAAGGCTCTCCCAGACAACAGCTATGTAGGGGGATAGGCCACACACAGAGGCATGCCCAGATACCAGTATGCACAGACACCAGCCAGAACTCTGCTGGGACAACAGGGCAGCACAGGGATCCAAAAGGCCACCATTCTGAACTCAGAAATCAGTGCAGGCATGAGCAGCAGAGAAAAGGCCTCTCAGTGGCTTGCTGAGAATTGAAGACCACTGGATAAGCAAAAGGTAACCTCAACAAAGGCACAGCAGGCTGAATCTGTTGAAATGAGAAGACACAAACAATTCTCAAAACCACACTTCCAGGTCACCTATGGTAACCCCAAAGGGCACCAAAATG